TATGTATATATATATATATATTGCAATCAGTGCAATTATACCTCGTACTTTGGTCACGAGAAATTTGCTTATTACTCTATTCTTCTAATATATACATATTAAGTCGTAGATATACTAATGTTTTATTAGCTTAAATCATGAATTTATTTATATACAAATTATAACATATATCGAACTTATTAATCATAAAATTTATTAAAAATATTAATAAATTTAAAAATATTAATAAAAATAAGCATAATTTTTATATGCATATATTTCTGTATACATCATATTTTATTTTTATAAAAATATTAAAAAGATTTAATACTAAATACTAAAAAATGATATATCTTTTATTATCATTCATTTTATACATATGTTTAATTTTTGTATAATAAAAAATTTATATTTAATAAATTTAATTATTAATATATAATTTATATTATAAATAATTTTAATATATTTAAAGAAAAAGTATAAAATAAGATTATCATAAGAAATGTGCAAATAAAAATTTTAACATTCTATAATTCTATTTGTACGAATAAATTTCGTTTCGATATAGAATAAAATAATAATAATTAGTTAAATCAATTAATTTTTGTATATTATTATATAAAATAAGTAATTTATATAGATGTTCATATATTATTCTATACATAATTCTATTCTATATGAATTGCTATATTATTTTATGTTGATTAAAATTTATGATTTAACATAATTCCAATGGACACATGTATATATGTATTTTTATATATCTATATATACATGTAGATTATATAAAAAATTTTTCATAATTGAATTTCATTAACAATAATTATAATTCAAAACAATAATAAAAGCCATTAATAAATATGATGTAGTCGAATAAAAATAAATTTGTTCTATAATAACTTAGGTTATTATAAATTATAATTATTTTAATTTATTAATATATTTATATATTCTTTTTATTTTTCAATTTTAATTTATAATATATTCAGATATACTATATATATTATAAAAATTTAAAATCCATTGATAAAATATAACATAAAAATATTTATTGTATTTGTTTATATTGCTTAATATATTAATCAAATTTTATTAAAAATTGAAGTTTTTATAATAAATAACGCTTTCTTTTTTAAATTACTCTTATTATTAAAAAATAATCAGTAAAGTTAGATATATATACGTATATGTACTTATGTATAAACAGATCTATTATACTAACAATAGAGCAAATGGATACGCCCCTGAATGCACAATTGCGCGCGTGCTTAATCTTTGCGACTGTCATATTCTGTCAAGCTCGGTGAACTTATGATCTTCAGTCATGCTAAATCTAATTGAAAAAACATAAATTTTAGCTATTAAGTATTATTTGGTGAAGTTCAGAGCTATTACAAAAAAAGTGGCTTGCAATCGTGATCAAACATGTATCGTATCTGTTCCGATCTCATAGCCGATACGGGTGTGTCTATACGCGTGTTCCAATACGTGACCAAGTATGTCAGTCAGTTGGTAAAAGTACGAGTTTGTTATAATCGTAGCAAACATTAAGTTATCGGTAAACAAAAATTTTTTAACGATGTCAGCTGGCATCCTGCAGGATAAGAGTGTAGCCTTGAACGGCAAGAATGATGTACCGGTAGTCTCGCAACCTACTACTAGGTGTGGAGTTAGAGTTTACAAAATTGTTATTTTGGGTGATGGTGGTGTTGGTAAATCAGGTAATATAATTTATATTATATCATTTATTTAGAAAAGAAAAATATATTATATTATATGTATATTACAGAAATGATTTTTTCAGCGGTCACATTACAATTTGTCAGTCATAGTTTTCTTGATTATCATGATCCAACCATAGGTAAGAATTTGTTTCATATATTGCAATAATAATAGAAATGTTTAAAAACTTATTTATAAAATTATTTTCTTAGTTTCTTAGTAGTTTCTTTTTAGTTTTTGGAATAATATGTCATTTAATGTCCTTTATTATTGACAGAGGATTCATATCAACAACAAGCAGTTATTGATGGTGAAGCTGCACTTTTAGATATATTGGATACAGCAGGACAGGTTAGAATCTTATTGATTTAAGAAAAAAAATCATGATTTTATAAAAAATCATATTAATCATATATATATTATAATTTTATATATATAGGTGGAATTTACAGCTATGCGTGACCAATACATGAGATGTGGAGAAGGTTTTATGATATGTTATTCTGTAACTGATAGACATAGTTTTCAGGAAGCTTTAGAATATCGAAAATTAATAACACGTGTGAGAGCTAATGAAGATATACCATTGGTATTGGTTGGCAATAAATTTGATTTACAACATCAACGAAAGGTAAGTTATTAGTTTTTTATTTACATTAGTTTTTATCTTAGCTAGAATTCATTGATTTTTTTAATATAATAAACGTTAACATTAATGTAATAAACATTTTTAATGTAATAAACAACATAGGTAACTACAGAAGAAGGAAAAGCACTTGCTGAGCAACTTGGTTGTCCCTTTTATGAAACATCTGCAGCTCTTAGACAATTCATAGATGATGCATTTTATTCATTAGTCAGACAAATTCGAGCTAAAGAGAGATCAAGAAATTCAGTACGTAAACATAGTCGTTGGTGGCGACTTCGTTCTATACTTGCCTTTATTTTTAGGAGAAAACAAAGGCATGTTAACAATCATCATTACTCTCCTTAAATTGAACTATTTTAATAAATATCTTTTTGATAGCGTTTATCTTAAATTAACAAAACGTGGCATAAATAGTTTAAAGTTTTACAAATACACAACGAACAAAATTTTTTATGATTCGTTTAGATTTCATAATAGTCTCTTAATCTAAGGATTGATTCTATAACATCTCACTGCCTTATCTTTAACCCCATTATATTTTCAATGTAGTAATGGAGACATGAAATATAGATTATAATTCATCATTTTTATTATAAATATTATTATAAATATTGCAATAATATCTTTTATTAAATTTAATTATTTTTAATATTTAAAAAAATATAAAATGAAATATAAATAATAAAAATATTATATTTTACGAAAAATTTTTAATATAAAACTAATAAATTATCTATAATTCTGTCTCCAATTTCTTCATTATTATTTATTAAAAAAATTTTTAATATTCTTTAAAATATGTTATTATTAAAAACAATAATTAATTTATTATAATTCAATATCTAATCTACCTTAAAAGTATTCTACTTTTGTTTTCTTAAATTAATGTAATTATAATAATCATTTTTCTTTGATTTAAATTCTAATTACTAATTTACAATTTATTTAATATGACCAAAGAATTTAATATTTCATGTTAAAACAAAATGAAATATTAAATAAAGATCTTGTAAATGCAGAATATACTATATATGTGAGATGAATGGAAAGCTTTATAATGCTAAATAATTGTTGAATTAATGAATTAGAATATTAATAAGTAAAATTTATTTATACTAATTTAAATTTTGCAAAAATAGAAATTATGAATTATTTTATATTGAATTACATTATTACAAAGAGAGAATATACGAAAGTTATAATAATTTGTAAAGTTTAAACATGTTACATATTTAAAATTTGCATAAAGTTTCCAATCAAAAAAGAATATATAAATATATTTTTATGTTTAAAAATTAAAGAAATAATACTAACATGCATTATAAATCTATAAATTTTATGTTTATAAATTATTATTATTATTATTAATTATTAATACTTTTAAAACGGCTCCTAAGAAATTTTTAAAATTATACATCTAATAGATTCTATTTTTGTGTCTTAATATTTATTAATTTTTGAAGTTTTTAATTTATGCAGCTTGAGAATACGTGATTTTTTTTTTTTAGAATATGTATATCATAGATCGATTAAGTAATTAATAGAATATACTTTATATAGTTTATATAGTTGCCAGATAATAGAACAAAACTATAATGGCAAAAGTCAGTACATAAAAAATGTTATTAAATGTAAGTTTATATACTAAATGTCTAGTCGTTACTTAATGTTTCCTAGTCAAGTTTTGCATTTTGTTAAACATGCAATAATTTACAGTTCACAAATGCAATTATGAATTTTGATTACATATAGTTTAATGTGATCATTTATATTTATCATATCTTCGAAATATTTATACATGTTGGTATTATATTTGTTACAACATTTTATAAACAGTTTACTAATAAAAAAAATCTGAATATTAATATTTAATCTATTTTAATAGTTAATATAATAATTTTGATTTTTATTTTATAGTAATAAGTACAAAGTATTATTGTCAAAGCTGATAATTAATTATCAATATATCAATAATAATTTTGTCCTAATACAGTAGAAAGTATTAATAAATAAAAATTAATACATAGCGATTCAAAATACAATATGAAATTTATGTAATATATGAAACATGTAAAATGTGTTTAATCTTCTTTTATTATTTTTCATAATAATAATAAGAGATTGTATGTAATTCTATGTAATATATTATTTCTTTTTATATTTAAACTAAGTATATCTATATACATATAAAAATGAAATTTTTAAAATTAACAACGATGGAAAACAATTTATATATTCATTCATCGTTCATACAATATATTACATATAAATTAAATAAATAAATGTTAATTAAAAAATACAAAAGAAACACATTTTACAGTGACAATACAATAAAATAATTAAATGAAATGTAAATTTATGATGTACTAACAAAAAAATTTAAATAGAAAAAAATTTTTAAAAACGCACATATGATACGCATGCTCATTTTAAAATTGAGCAATAAATTTGATATAATTGAAGTAAAGTACTGAAGTAATTGAAATAATATGTATGAATTGTAATTTTAACAAACTAATTGGAGATATTAAAAAATTGTAATTGTAATCTAAAATATATAATTTTACTATAATAATTGATATTATATAATATAATTTGCATAGATATTTTCAATTTTCATATTTTACACGAAAATTAAATAAATACAAAGTAGGATATTAAAAACATTTATTTTATTTATTTACATTCAATTTGATAAAAAAATTTAATAATAATATAATGAACAAAATTAAAAATTTATATATATAATATTCTATAATAATTGGAATAAATTAATATTTATATAATCTTAGAAATCCTTTCCTATTTTGTTAAAAAATATATATTTTGTTTTTTATAATTGCACTATAAAAGATTGCAAATTATTTTCAAATTTCTATTATTACTTATAAATTAATGATTATAACTATACAAAAGATTCAAAACATTTCTTGTTTTGAAAATATTTATAATTTAATTATATTTAATAAATGATCGACATATTTTTTATTCATTGTATGAAATATTTTTTAATTATTCATTATCAGTCTCCATTGAGTCTTCCATTTGATGTATGTTGATCTCTCCCACTTTCTATTACATTGCTATCTGTTCCTCTATTTCCTGTTTTACTAATTTCTATATAAAAAAAATTACAATAAAAATAAAATAATTTAAATTTTTTATTATTTAAAAAACAAGTTACATATATTGTACATTTATTAAAAATTTTTTACTTTGTTGCATGATAAATGATAAGAAATAAGTTATAATGATTATATTATAATATGTAATATGATTAAATTATAATAAATACTTACCAGGATCTGGATTGTCATCCATATCTCCATTTGAATCATTATTCTTTTGGATTTTTGAGTTTATCTGAACTGAAAAAAAGTCATATAAACTATTACTATTCTAATATAAAATAATAAAAAACATTTATGAGAATTTGTAATATCCATATATTCTACAAAATGTTATTTGCTAGTAGATAGAACATTTTAATAATTTTTGCATTAGTGAACCCTCTCCAATTAGTTTATATATGTATATATGTTATATTATATTACATTATAAATATATATATATATATATATATATATTAGTTATTTATAATATATATTAAATCTAAATAATAAATTAAAATA